TCTTGCTCTATTCACAACAGGAATATCACCATTGGCAGTAACGAGACCGATCGCAACACGTTTTTCCGATGGTGGTGTATTTATAGCTTCGTCTTCAAATAAGTCTGCTACGTCATCGGAGTCTTCAGCAAGGGAGCCGTGGCCCCCACCACGTTGTCGTTTTTTCCCTCCCCTTATCATTGGTAAAACCAATGCGGTATTCCCTTGCTTTAACCGACTTGAATAAGTGCTATTAAAATTTTTTTTTGGCATGTTGGCTTTTGCATTTATATTGTATTGCATATTTATTGTTTCTGACATTAAAATTCAAAATTTTAGTAAATTTTGACAATTATGGAATTGCAATTCAAGAAAGTTTGATATAAAATATCTATTAGAAAATTATATATAAATTACCATGTCGCGTAACCCTTCGTGGAGCTTGTGTAAAAGAACCGTTTGAAAAGGTTGTTGTGGGCGCATGAATACTCTTACTTGGTAAAGAACGTCCGTACGAAGTCGCGTAATAAGCAGGCGCTATCGGACGACGCATTGGTTGAGGTGCGTGGTGATAAGAATATTGTTGTGGAGTAGGTGCTAAGTGTTGGTAAGTTTGTTGTCGATATGAATATTGAGGTTGATAAACATAAGCATGCTGTTGATGACTTTGAAGAGAGGTCTTGGTGTACGGGTTATAATTTGAAGAATTCATTGAAATAATTTGTATAAACTTGGGGATAATTATTAATTTTGTAATATGCCTGGAAAGAATTGACAAAATGTTTTAACAAGTTCATTTCACAGTATAAATCAGTTTTTCGTCACATTATTTATCACGTGACATTTGTAATTACATAGAAACAAATATAAAAAAAATTTTTTTTGGTAATTTCTTATTTTATGTATTAAATTTTTAATATATAAAATTTATTAAATATCAAAATATTTTTTTAAATTTTAAATAATATACATCACGGTAAATTAAAAAAAATCATAATTTTATTTATTAACCGATGTTTTATTAGACTATAAAAAATATATATATGATAACTTTAATGAATAGATAGTAAATTTTCAATATTAATCAAGCATATTTTAATAATTTATTAAGCATTTAATATATGCCATTTTTTTTAATCACTTTTTTAATAAAGTAAACTGAAATTAATTAATTTATCAAAAAAAATTGTTATAATTATATCACAAAATACTTTATCTATTAAAAGTTTTTATTATGCATGGCATAATAAAATAATCCAGTTCAAAAGTCTTACAAATTAAAAAAATTATAAAATCACTAAAGATTTTAATAAAAAAACCACCATTTTTTGTTAAAAAAATTTTTTTTAACAAAATAATCCATTATTTTTACTTTAAAAAATTAATAAAAATAATTATCAATACTTAATAGGATAATCATGGGCTTTTATCACTTCTTGAATTCGAGATTCCATACTTTTAACAAGTTTTTGATAAACTTCATATTGAATTTATGATCAGCATTCTTAAATAAACATCTCCAATTCTCCTAAATTTCTTGGGTGATTTTTTTTGGTCAGATATAACGTTCAAACTCATCTCATAGGTGTTCAATAGGATTAAGGTCTGAACTTTGTTCTGACCATGGTAACAGAATTATTCACATTTTTTTCATAAAGGTTTGTGTTCTTACACTAGCATGAATTGGAGCATTGTCTTGTTGAAAAAAATACTTACCATTTTCTTCTTCAAATTCCTCTAAAAATGGTATTAAATAATAGCCAAGAATTTCTTCTATATATCTTTCACTATTAATCAGACTATCAATTCTTACCAAAAGGCTTAAACTACATCAGAAAAAACACCTACACATCATGATTCTACCACCACCATGTTTTATAGTTGAAGAAAGATAACTAACATCATATTTTTCTTTTGAAAGGCGTCAAACATGAATTTTTACATCATTTTGAAATAAAGTAAATCTAGATTCATCACTCCAGACTAAAGATTGGAACTGTAATTAATATGTTGCAACTTTTAATGTTGCAACTTACATTGCAATTAGTTTTAACCTATATATGTTGCAACTTATAATGTTGCAACATATGTTGCAACTAATTTTAGCTTATGTTGCAACATTTTGTAAATTTGAAATCAATTGCTGTACCATCTTTAGTCTCCACAAAAATCAACCTTCAGTTTGAGACATCTTATACTGGTACGCATTGTAGAGAAAAGTTTGAGAGTCTCAAACATGATTGTAAAGTTTGTAGAAGTCCTTCTGAAATATCTGAAGACTCAGCCATGCACAGCGCCTGATGCCAAACTAATTTATCTTTTCTATTTAGCGTATGGAAGTGTATATCGATGATAAGGCCAATGGAAAAAGACTAAGAATGGCGGCGACGAAAATATTATGAGGAATTCAAAGAATAGTTCTGGAAAATACCAGGTAAAGATTAGTTGATCAGAGGAAGGAAATATTTATGAGAAGATATACTAATCCCCTAATACTTTATTTTACTATAGTGACTGATTATGATCGGCTCCGTGAGCAGAATATTGCAAGAAGTCATCAAACCCCACCACCACCATATGAAGAAAATAGAGGTTCTACCTCACAAGTACCACCACTACACTCGTAATGATAGGAATAATTATATCTAGCTATTAGTATTTTTCGCTGTAATTATTTTATATTGCTAGAAATCGCTCAATACTTGTATAATGTGAATACAAATATAATAAAAAAATATCATCATTTTTGGAGGAAAATTAGCCGAGAGGCGCTTTGCATGAATTAGCTTGACTACTTTTTTCCTTGCGCTTCTGCCTCACCTCTATCTCTTTCTGCAGGTTTAGTGGAGTGTCAAACCTTAGGCGGATTGCAAGAGGATCATCTTCCGACCTAGTGAGATCAAATACAATAAATTCACCTCTTCGAAGGTAGCTATTAATAACCATAGATGCATTTTTCACATCATCAGTATAACGACCGGCTATCTTAGACACATCTTGTTGGCTACCACCACCGTTATACATTACTAAATGGGAGATATTCTCACGAATGAATGTAGGGACTTTATGGTATTTTTGGGTAACATATATACTTGAAATATTTCGATGACGTCCATTCCCAAAAAATTGGCTAATTCGATTCTGTATATGTTCTGGGGCTAAGCACAGATCCTCGAAAATAATTAGTGTGCTTCTTTCAGGTGAGAATGCTCTTGTACTAGGAATTCTTTCAGGTGGAATGTACCTGAAACTAATATCCTCATAGAAAGGCGCTTTTGGATCCTTTGAAATCATATTATATATATACCTCACATATGCCCATTTTGGCTCATCAGGATGATACCCACAAACAATTAGATCATCACATTTAATGTAGCGAGACCCACCTTCCTCCCCTCTTTGTACATATTCATCCTTATCACCAAGAACAAGATTTCCAAGTAAATTAGTCTTACCTGAACCACTTTTCCCAGTGACCAACTTGCTGAAAGGCCATGTCATTGCCGGATGGCCAATATTTCGGGATGATTCATGTTTTGTGACTTCATCCATATCCAAAAGACGAAGTTTCATAGGAGGTAGTCCTGTCTTTTGGTTCTTCTGCGTATCGGATTGGGAACTCATAACTATAATTTCTATTTAAGGGTATTTTATAGTTCGGAATATTTTTTTCTTTATTGTAAGATGAATATAGACGAGAGAATATGCACCATAGGAAGTATATGATTAGTAATACTATTACGAAGATGAATGCATGCTGAAAAAATAAGGAATAAGATAATTCTGAGGTTGTTTCGGGGCTAGTGATTTCGTTACCTTTCTCCAGTCCTTTATCACCTCCAATCACTTCAGACTCGCTGGATGTTATTGGGATCTGCTTGGCTAAACGACTATTATTTAGGACCGCTTCTTGAAGGAGGGTGTCTTTCTCTATCAATGCCTGTTGCGCTGTGGCTAAATTATCTTTTATTTGCGCTAATTCATCCTTTTTTTTGATCAATGTATCTTCTAAATCTCTTTTCTCCAAATCTAGATCAATATTTTTAGTAAATAGTTCAACATTTCTCTGTTCCCATTTAGGCCTAAGAGATTCAATTTCTGATAACTCCTCCTGTGCTAAAGAAAGATCCCGCTCTAATTCCTCTGCCCTAGATTGGAGAGATTCCATTTCTAACAACTCCTCCCGTGCTGAAAAAAAGATCCCGCTCTAATACCTCTTCCCTAGTTTGAAGAGCCTGTATCTCTTCCTTCATCTTGGATTGGAAGGCTTGCATCTCCTCCGATTTTATAGAGAATTTGCTTTCAGCATCTGCAAGAGAAATATTCTTGCGAGTAATCTGAAGCATAAGCTCATTTTTTTCTGAATGCAATTGTCTTATCTCTTCTCCAAGTTGGTGCACCCGATCGGAAAGTTTTTTATTTTCATTTTTGGATTTATCAAAATCATCCTGCATGCGCTTATTTTCCCTATCTAAGACATCATAGTTATCCGCAAACTGGCTTCCCCAATATATAGCAACTTCATGGTCTTTTTTTGCACAAGAAAGTTGTTCTTCAAGCTCTGTTCGACTGGAAGGATAATAATTAGCTGGAGAATCTCCAAGTTTATTACCATTATCCAGATCTTTTAAGGTATGGATCTGGGGCATTTTATTGGTATTTTTTTTACTTTTGGCAAAAAAAATCAGCCATAGCTTAATCTTGTAAGAAAGCGGATTATTTTTGGCGAATTTAATGCCTATTAATACTCATTGAAAAAAAGATCACTAGTGCATACTAAAAGGCACTGAGACGCATTTATACTTATTGATGCACACTGAAAGAGAATACTGATATGCATTGAAGGGCACCAATATGTATTGAAGGATACTGATATGTATTGAAAAGTACTGACTCATATTGAAAGGCACTGGTATGTATTGAATCACCAGAAATATTGATACATATTGAAAAGTATTGAAAAAATTATTGGTAGTTTTTTTTGCTTATATATTCTGACTAAAAAATGGTTACCCATCTCCATGAAAAATTCTATCGATCCAATGCAACCCCATTATCAAAAGCTGATATCAAGGAAATTAGAGAATCCAGAGGCAGGATACCCAATGCATCAAAAAAAATGTTGAAAAATTCCATGTTGATGCTTGGCATATTTATGAAATATGGAACAATAGTGAACGTCTCCAACAAGGGCTTATTTTATCTTCTTCCGATCAGCCTGCTTTGGATAAAAATTCCCAAACTGTTAAGACAGAACAGACTCTTAAAGTAGTATCAGAAATATCCCTTCCGACTACAGAGATTTCAAAAAAGAATAGTCGAAAAAAGAAGGTTAAAATAGATGAGAAGCTAGTTACTGGAGCAAGTAGTATGGTGGAAAAAAATAACAAAAATAATGTGACCTCTTCCGCTGATAATTTGTCTGATATATCCCGAGAAGACGGGTTGGATTCTCTTCTTGAAAATCTAGTTAATCGTGGTGAAAAGCTTAAGGGTTTAACATCTAATACCACTCCTCTCATATAAGGATTCACATATATCAGTAAGAAATTTACCAGTACTTAAGGCCAAATAAAGCATTTCTTCAGTCTTTATGAGACGCTTTTCAAGCTTTACGCACTTTTTTTTAAGTCCTCTTCACTATTTGGACTA